CCATTGCATTTCCACTAAGTTATTGTACTCATATCAGAGAATATTCAAGAACTAAGAGGAGATTTCTGGTTGTGCATATCTACCATCCTCAGTCCAATGAACGGCAGGACCTAAGCGATTACGATATTATGCGAACTCTGGGCACGGGATCGTTTGGCCGTGTGCTGATGTGCAAGAAGAAGGAGACTGGACAGTTCTGTGCAATGAAGATTATCCGCAAGGAGATCGTCATCAAACTGAAACAGGTGAGTACCAGCGTGACAGCTATAGCCACACATACTTGGTTTATCTGGCAAGTCAGCGGTTTGTATCCCCCCCCCCCCCCTATGGTCCTATAAGAGAACAAGAGTAGAACAATAGAACCATGTCATCCCCTATGCAAAACATCGAAGAAACATTGGAGCTCGAATTACCCTCGAGCCTGACATCTTGCATTCTGATGGCTATCTGTTCTCCCTTGTTCAAGGCTGTTATCGATTAACTCCCATCAATACGGATTCTGTTGGGTTTCAGGCAATTTCGTCTAATAAGTAAGGTATCCCGGATTGGAGTCTTCACAAACTTAATTCTACACATCTCCGGTGTCACACAGGTGGAACATACAGCTAACGAGAAGAATATCTTGGCGTGCATCGACTGCCCGTTCATAGTCCAGATGATCGAATTCTTCTCGGTAGGTCTATGTGACTGTGTTCATCCAAGACTCAATGGTGCAGGTTGTCGACTATTCATTCTGCAATTGCATAGCCATAGGACACGTACCCGTAATCCATTGCTACTAGTAAAAATACAGGAGCTCGCCTGTGTATCGATTGTTGTAGTGAACTGTGCAATATGTTATGTATGTGCCTGTTATACCTTGATAGTGAAAGCAAAAGCATGCGGTGGCCTGCACATGCTTGCCCGTGTCGTATCATAGTTGAGCCGTTCCGAGTATGTGCCCATACAGTCCTGCAGACAGCGGAGGCGTGTCGCTGATCATATTTTGGGTTTGCTTAATGGTTATAAGTAACTTGGAACAATGTCACCTGCTGAATCACCTATGTCTCCACCGGTAATGGGGCTTTCCCCAGAGTATGCTCGTTCAGTGCAGGCAAACTGGAAGGGGGGTTTTTCTCGCATGAGGCTATTTTTACGCGCTAGTGCCATTGCAAACACGTATAGCACTCTGCAATACTCGCAATACCTGTATACTACACTGATCATTGATAAGTGTTTGACAAAGGAGCCCTCGTAGGCTTCGACAGTACTGCATATAACCATACCTCCTACTTTCTCTATCCTATCTTCTCAGGACAAGAAATCCCTATACTTTGTCCTCGAGTTCATCAACGGAGGCGAGATGTTTACGCACATTCACCGCAACCGATATTTCACATCCGACGTGGCCCGGTTCTTTGCCGCAGAAACTGTCCTAGCCTTTGAATACCTAGTATGTTGTGCATGAGTTTTCGCATGTCATATCTCTGTTCTGTATGGACGTTATATTATGCTTGCATACTGTTTTGTATATATCTATATATAAATTTTTTTTTTTTGGACTACCATTATGCAATGTTATTTGGCCCGTATGAAAGTGACTTCATTTGCTGTGTACATAGTACGTGTGTGTATCTAACGAAGTTCTCCAAACCGGGCGCTAGGCTATACAAGCACAGATCAAAGCGCTTTTATCTAGTTCATGATTTCTAGCAAGTCACTGATTTAAAAAACACGCATTCTGGGTGCATTGGCAAATGCCAGTTTTGTATTATGGGCAGCATTTGTCCGTGTACCTAGTCAAGCATCGCCTATACGCATGAGTAAGCCTTCCCACTTATGTCTGAGATCTCCTCCACATCCTGAAACTCTCAGTGTCCTCCTACCTTATTAACCACCACATCAACTCTTAACTTCGTCGCAGTGCCACTCATTCCTGTGGTTCTATCTACAGCATAACCTAGACATTGTCTAGAGCCACTCATTCCTGTGTCTGGTTCTATCTACAGCATAATCTAGACATTGTCTAGAGCCACTCATTTCTGTGTCTGGTTCTATCTACAGCATAACCTAGACATTGTCTACCGTGACCTGAAGCCCGAGAATCTGCTGATCGACAGCCGTGGCCACCTCCGTATCACGGACTTTGGTTTCGCAAAGCGCGTGGCGGATCGTACATGGACACTCTGTGGAACCCCCGAGTACTTGGCGCCGGAGATTATTCTGTCCAAGGGTTACGCCCACGCGGTCGACTGGTGGGCGCTAGGTACTTTAATAGGGAGATGATAATATCCAGCTCACTTAGAATTTAGTTATTGTGGCTCTATGCGGGTAGTTTGTGGCGACATGTGTGGTTGATGTGAATGCAGGTATACAAGGCAAGGCTCAGCAGCCAGCAGAGGAACCGGGTGGTTGTAAAGGGGAGAGTTTTGGTCTTTGTGAGGGTTGATTGGCGGGTTGATTCGGCATATCACTGTGTCTTTAGAAACACCACGCGCAGTTTACACAGAAGTGAGGACGCACTCACTCGTAGAAATTACTGGAAATACAACTCGAACCGAGATCGTGGCTGACCCTAACAACTCGGTTGACACTTTATGCACACAGGTATTCTAATCTATGAGATGCGATGCGGTCACGCACCTTTCTACGACGAAGCACAGATGGAGATGTACAAAAAGATTGTTGAGGGCCGACTTGTGTTCCCGACGCACTTCAAGTCAGACGAGGTATTTGGTTCGGAGATCAATCTTTCTTGCCATTCTCGGTAGACGACTGACTTAGGTTGCATTAATTATGCGTGAAGGAGAATATATTGCACTCAATAGCGTTCGTTGCATGTCTTGTTCTACCAATTTCTGTTCTAGCTTGGCTCTATGGTGAGTTATGATCGAGTATGGTCTAGATTAATTTGGAGCTTACAAACTGTTCGCAGTACTAATTTGCTGCACATTTTCTGCCATTCCCCATAGCGTTCTATCATCTCCGGTTTCCTAACGAGTGATTTAACAAAGCGATTAGGTAACATGAGGAGCGGAGTCTTAGAGATCAAGAAACACCCATTCTTTAAGGTACGTACAAAAGACTAGTTCAATCTCTGCTGACAGGTGTGCAGATCTCGTGCAAAGTTCTACCATATTTTTTCTTCTTCTGGCAATGCCAACTAAATTGTTTATAGCGGATTCTTCAAGCGCCAAGCTTGAGGTATGTATTTGGTCGCGAGATTCGGTTGTTGGTAAGTGACATAACAAGCCGAAGGGGTTGATTTTCATTTCTTTTCATCCTGTATTGACTACGCACAGTCCATCGATTGGCAAGCCATGTACGCGAAGAAGGTGATATCCCCTTACATCCCCAAAACTTCGGGCGAAGGGGATGACAGTAATTTCGACAAGTACGATGAGGAGCCTATCAAGTGGCACGGCACCGGCACAGACCCATACGCTGAGATATTTAAGAACTTCTAATTCGCACAGTCACGACAAAGGAGAGGCGGACATCGATATTGCGCGTGTGATCCGATGCGGATTAAGATAACAGCTTAGTGAAAATAAATGACTTCTTGTAATGTAGCAAAATTGTACACAATACCGCCAAAAATTCAGAGTCTCCACTCGTTCGATTACAGCTGACTGTACGGGTGTCCCGTCAGACCTCAGCAGTCAGCAGTTAGCATAGTGGACAGGCTGAGAGAGCGAGAGAGAGGCGTTGAGACCATCACCAAGGCCTCAAAGGTTGGTCTAAATGAATGTCCAAAATCTAAATATAGTCCAGAGTCCAGACTCACTCCAGAGTTCAGAGTTCAGACGCCAACGGCCACTGGCCCGACAGACTCTCAGTCTCACAGTCTGTCACAGAGACACAGACCCAGAGTCCCAGACTCACAGTCACAATGACAATTGTGACGGGTCATGAAATATTCAAATACTGAGTTTTTCGGAAATACTATTTTGATTTTCTATCAGCTGGCCTCTTTTAGGCGTTCAGGCTGCTTCAGCCTTTCAGTTTCAGGCTTCAGCTTTTCAGGGCTTCAGCCTAAAATATTCTGCGGTTGGATGACTCATGGTCATTTTGTCATGAATTCATGTTACTGTGAAGTGTGACTAGAGTAGTCTGTGACTGTGAGTCTGTGACTGTGAGTCTGTGACTATTGCGTATGCCGTCAGTGCCGTGTAAAATAGTTACTCCAAAAAGTGAAAATAAATAAATTAAAGGCATTTGCTACTACACACTGAAACAATGAGCAATTCTTCCTTTGTCCCACTCACACCCCCCCCCCCCCCTCCTATTTTTATATATAGTTCTATACGTAAAAGGTTGGTCAGTGCAATGGTATCATTAGTGTGCAGGCACAATCTCCCAGCAGCCAGGCATTGCGTAATACTTTTATTACGTTTTCTGTCCTGCTGCATAACTACGAGTTTACGACTGCCCAGAGAGAGGGATTCCACAAACTGAAAATTGAAAAATTGACATGCGCCGACAAGCCCTTTTTCTGCTATCAGCAGTCATCCTATTCACATGCACGTCACGACATCCGGTCCAAGTATGTAATTAAAAATATATTGTAATTATAATATACATACCGCTAAAGTAGGGAATGCTAGCGTACATCCATAGTGTTAGACTTGAGAGAGGGCAAGCTAGCAATTTGGGATTGTTTCACAAGGCGGTTTGTAGTAAATAAAAGCTATTTCTAATAGTGAACCAAAAACTCATTTGCGGTCATCAGGAGTATTTATATCGAACAGCCTGATTAAACGACAACGTCGTTGACATCGAGCCAAGATGGTGCACATAACCAACGCGCTATACAAGGACCATGCGCCCTATCGGTCTGAATTCATCACCTACGTGGTATGCTATTCCAGTTGATATTAACAATACTATTTTTCATTTGTGTCGATGTCTTACCGGTATCTCGAGACCAGAAACTGTATTTTTCCTTACGATTTCATACTAATGAATACGCTGTGGTCTTGTGTTTAGAACGGCCACCGTATCATGCGAGATAATGTACAACCGGAGATGACGCTGCTGCAGTTTCTCCGAGAAGACCTTGGCTTGACTGGCACTAAACTGGGCTGTGCGGAAGGCGGGTGTGGTGCATGCACTGTGATGTTGTCCCATATCGACCACAACGACAAGGTCGTTCACAGGTGAGGCTGACATACAATCGGACTGATAAAGTTTATTTGTTTACTGCATTAGACACCCGAAGTTTAGCATCTGTGCCTTGTGTAGCGGATTTTCAACGAGTTTATTATATTTCATAACGAGTTGGGCGTTTAGTTAATTGTGGGATTGTCGGATGTGTCCGAGTCATATGTGCACATAATTCATTGTGAAGTGAGGTGTCAAAGTCGTAGCTCATTAAGTCGCGTGTGAGAGAGTCTGGTCACTGCAAAGCCAGGCGCTGAATAAATATGAACCTCAGAAACTCCTGAGTTCATGACAATTGGAGGAATGTGAAGTGTGTGTTTATTCTGCGCCCGCATGTCACGAACTCTCGAGTTTTCTAGGTATACGTTCTGATCACTCACCCTGAATTCATAATCTCGGCATTCTCCTGGCAGGAATGTAAATGCCTGCCTGATGCCTCTGTGCGCGGTAGCTAACATGGCTGTCACCACAGTCGAAGGTATAGGGAACACCAAGAAGGCTCTGCATGCGGTTCAGGAGCGACTAGCCAAAGCCCACGGTTCCCAGTGCGGCTTCTGCACACCGGGGATTGTCATGTCTATGTATACGCTGCTACGCAATAACTCGAATCCGGTACGTATCTTTGTGAGTTATTTACGAATAAATATTGTAAATTTCAAAATTAAGTAGTCATGTCTTTAAGACTTCTGATGAGCTTTCATAGTGTGGCCGAATATCTCTGTAGCGACGTACGTTGTACACGCGCAGGTCTTTATATATGCTAGTTCCGTACACATACAATCACAACTAGGTATTTTTCCGCTAAGATATATACAATACATGATCTATAGTGATATAGATGTTATGTATGTTATGATTAATATATATATATTTTGTTCATATTCCCATGCTATTTGTTCTTTTTATGTTTGTAAAACACATACAGTTGTATATAAGTGATTCTCACAAGATTTATACAGGAACTGATACCGATATTTACTCTGTATGTACTGGTGCATTTACATTCGTTCAAATGGAAACTTCACATCAAATATATCTTTGGCAAACAGTTATAAGAGTGCATGAAGCGCACCTTTGTGGGCCGAATTTGGTACATTCTGCTTTTGTAGATTTAAATGAAACGGTTTCAAGTTCCTTTTGTATTCATCTTTATTCGTTTCTTGGTACACTGGTCGCTTAGTTGCTCACGCAAGTAGTCATACTGATTCAGAAACGTATATTTTATCGTACACCTATATGTGCATATGCTGGGCTCATGTCATGGCCACCTTAGCTATATTCTTCCTATAAGCGCCACAAATACACTCCGTTCGTTATAAGGATGATTTACTCGGTGTGCTAAGTGTAACGTACTTTTCGATATACAACCGTCGAGCTACCCTCATCTAGTACTATAGACAGGTCATATATTCTGTACTGGAAACGTTAGTCTAAAACCAGATATATTGACTATTGACTTATCAGTTCAGACTTAGCAACTTGCCCCACACAGCCCCACACACATGGGTAGAAGTAGCATTCATTTCATTTCGTACGCTATTCCATACCCAGTGTCTCAACACGCCCCCGGTGCTCACGCATTTTGCTTATAAGGATCACGGACCCCTTTTGCCCATAACAGAGTGTCGAAGACATTGAACACGCCTTTGACGGCAATCTATGTCGCTGCACCGGTTATAGGCCCATCTACGATGCCTTCCGCACCTTCGCTGGTATCTACAAAGAGCCCAAGTCAAATGACACCGGTAAAGCCAATGGCTGTCCTATGGGAGCAGACTGCTGCAAGAACGGAGGCTCTGGCAAGAAGGCGCCCACTACACAGGCGAATGGTATGGGTTGTATAGCCGTGCAGATCAAAGAGCAATACTTCCATGCTCATTTAACCAAAATGTAGTGCATCAAGCACACCTTTATAGATTGATATACACGGTTTGATTAACATATATTGCATACGTGGTCGTGCCCGACAATCCACGAGGATGTTGATAGTGCGCACGGGTTGCAGCTATTCAACGCGCGCGCATTGGCAAGCTAGTGCAGTCAGTGACGGGTCATAAACTTCAAAAGGAAACACGTTGATGCAAAGTACCATAGGGAATTGCATCGGTGGTTCTTGACATTCTACCCACACGTGTGGACATGCAGGCGCCTGCTGAACAACTACTGAACAACTATGCGAATTCAATTCGATGTCATGCATGCTTATGTTCTCTCTCTCTCTCTCCCTCTCGCGCGCGCGCGCTTGGCATATGAACTGATGGATACCTTGTTTGTTATCACCTCCCGCGTGTGCATCGTTGCTGCAGGTTGTTGCGATGACGACGCTGCGTATGAGAACACAGTCAATCCAAACCGCAGCGCGTACACTCCGTACGATCCATCGCAAGAGCCTATTTTCCCACCTGGTTTGCGCCGCAAAGGTGTTCTGACCACTGGGTTGGAATATAAGGGCGAGAGGATGACCTGGTACACGCCTACGTGTCTAGAGGAGGTGTGTGTACACGTGTCTTTCTGGGTGTACTACTTATTCACATAGGGTACAGACTGGAACATTGGTATCTGCGTTGTCTTACTGCTGTAAGGTCTAATTGTATGGCGAAACAGGCGTCACGAACGTTATTCTATCAACGTGGTGTATGTGTATCTATTGTTTGTATGTATACGCGAGTGTAAAGGTATTATATCACTTTTATACACTAAATATGACGAATTTATGTACAAACATAAAAGGAAGTGGGCACAGAAATAGCAAGCCGTTAGTACTCGCACATTGTTACGCACAAAACTAGTGCTTTTTGGTGTTTATTTACTTCTTCAACATCGTGCATGTGGTAAGCTATTCACATTTGTAAACCTGAAGTGAAATCTGGATCGTCATACACACATAAAATCTCGATCAAATACCCATGTGCATTGTCTATTAGTCTGGATATATGCGCACACGCTTGTTTGTCTGTATGCGGTTGAAGTACATGTCACAGGTTTAAAATGTATCGCTGTTACGGCCGTCATTTCGTGGATACTAACATAATATTATCACAGAGTATTCCACACGGCTGTCAAATGCATAGTGGTGTCAGGTATCTCATCTGCGTGGTCAACCACCAAATAAACCTGTTCTATGTATCTATCAACCATGCCATTGCCAATCTACCCTCGTCACCTATCACACTCACACCTACACAGGCTCTCCGCCTGAAGCACATCCACCCCGAGGCCAAGATGGTGTTCGGCAACACGGAGCTGGGTGTAGAGACGAAGTTTAAGGGCATGCAGTATCCAGTCTTCATTCACGCCATGCACGTGCGTGAACTGAACGACTTCCAGGAGTTTGAAGATGGGGTGGCCATCGGTGTAGGTATGTTGGATAGGAAGGATGGTGTAGTGAATTGGTGATGTTCTGTACGAATCTGGGTCCAGTACGACTCGACTTGCACACGAAGTATGATGGATGCAATGTGGCGTCAGAAAAGATAGCAGTGTGTCATATTTGTTACAGCTGTTGGGAAAAAGGTTCTAGTCCAATGTTTGATGCGCGTTACGCTATACTGCTCTGGCGCGAGGCCCCTGTAATACCTTTTCACTAGTGCATTAAGAAATTAATGCAGGGTACAAGTGGGTGTCAACGACGGTCTCAAAAACACGTGCATATGTATCCACATGTTCAATCTCTGATTCTTCGGGTGCTGTTTTCCAGGTACCACACTGGCGGACATGGAGCGACGGTTCCGTGAGATCATGGATAAGAATGGCGCAGAGAAGACTCAGACTTTAGCATCTGCTGTGGAGATGCTGGAGTGGTTCGCTGGAAATCAGATCCGGAATGTTGCGGCGATCGGTATGTATGCGATGTCCGTGGGTAGATGTTCTTGGGAAATGCTGGGAGTTGGATGTTTGATATTGGGTCTATGTGGATACATGTGATGTTTTTTTTGGACAAATATTAATTATGAAGTTCATCGATGATGTGTGGGATATGTTTTATTCCCCAGTAAAAGTGGGAGAGCGTTAGAGGCATGGGAGTGTGTGCTATGGAAACATAGGATACGAAAAGTACTTTCAATATATGAATTTGGGCATTCACCGTACTCAACTCGTATAAGTACCTTGACCGCATTTGTCATAGCAGACCGGAACGAGCTTTTATTTTCTCAGTGCTTTCGCTATAGCTCTATATGTGCCGATGCTTGTTTATTCGAGGTTGCGTTTGACGAATGCTACCTGGTAGATTTCGCCTGTTCACACCGTAGGCTAGACCTATCATGGTTCTGAACCACTCGGCACATCACAACTCTGGCTCGCTTCACCGTCCATGTCTCATCCCACTGTCCTGTCCACCCACCTGCCTCGTTATCACAGGTGGAAACATTGCGACGGCTAGTCCTATTTCTGATCTGAACCCACTGTGGGTGGCCAGCGGTGCCTCTGTAACTGTGCAATGCCACAACAAGGAGCCACGTATCGTGCCCATGACCGAGTTTTTCCTCAAGTATGTTCTCGTCTATGCAGCAGTGAATGGCATGCTCGCTTGCAAATGGATGTTGGCCTGAGTGTCTTCTCACTCGGTGGGATCCAGTTGTTCCCTGTATCTTGCTCGGCTGCTGCCTGTTCTTGAATGAATGTGTGTGATACATATATCGTTTCCTTCTGCGACACCAGGCACGAACTTGGTGCGTAATACTGATAGGGGGTAGCTGGGTTGGACATGTAATGTAATGGTTAGTCAGCTAAGCACGGGCTCCTGCTAAGTGTGTGCGCTGCGTTTCATAGTTTGGGGGTTCTTTGTTCGTTGCCTTGTCTCAATCTCTGTCTATGTGAAAGGTAGGGGAAAATACAGATGGAAGTACTCTGCGCCGGCCATCAGAGACTCGAATGTAGCTGTATATATATATATATAGATATAGATATATAGTCGCATTTGCTGACGACTTTGTATTCTATTCACATGTACTATGTAGGTATCGCACAACTGCTCTGAAGCAGGACGATGTTCTGGTGTCTCTGCATATCCCGTTCACGAAGAAGAACGAGTTCGTGGAATCCTACAAACAGGCACGCAGAAAGGACGACGATATTGCCATCGTCAACTCAGCGCTGCGCGTGCGATTGACTGATTCCGGGACAAACGGTGTGTGTCCAAGTTGTAGCTAATTGTGGCGGTTAATTACAGCCGCCTCCAAGTACTATCCTTACCCCTTCAAATTCCAAGTTGCATAGAGCGGGTAGCAGTCGTTTCCATTCATTACCGCAATCTACCGTGTGAAACCGCGGATTTGGGTTAATCGCACGCGCGGCTGGTTCATTCTCATGCCCTCTTGTCTCCTCCTATATCCTCACACAATAGACGCTGGCAAACCCATCTACACCGTTGCCGAGTGCAGCATGTGCTTTGGCGGGGTTGGTCCCATCAGTGTGCAGGCCAAGGAGACGGCACAGTGGCTGGTGGGGCAGGTATGGGGTCGGGAGGGGCTGTTGGAAGACGCCTGTGGACGCCTCACGCAGGAAATCTACTTACCCGCGCACACACCCGGAGGCATGGCGGAGTACCGCATGAGTCTGGTCACCAGCTTCTTCTTCAAGTTCTTCATCAGCATTTCTGGCAAGATACAGGTAGTTATGGGCGATGCATGTTATGGGAATGGGCTCCACCGTGAGTCACGTGCAAGGCCGACTGGCCATTGTAATGGCTCGTAGATATACTTCGAAGTGGGTAGCTTGTGTATACAGGACTGCATCTGGCTGCATGTTTTTGTTTTTTCGATGAGGGGTACTTGCACGCAAGACATTCGCTGGCGTTATCTTACGGGTACTAGGGTGTTCCGCACATCAGCTGCAACGTCGCTGATAGTTCATTCTATAGAGTGTAGGCCTTCATCAATCGAACACTGTACCTCTATTTCAGTACGTGTTGACCCTAATTCTTGCCTGGTACCCAGGTATCTCACGCCACTCATCGCCTGCGATTATATCATAACGGCTAGTCAAGCCAGACAATGACGTGAATTCTTTACTAATCGGAAACGTGTCTATCTCTAACCCTCAGCACGACATCCCCGCGAGCTGGAAGTCAAGTGCCGAACGGTACGAACGCCCTGTGAGCAAAAGCGCCCAGGTCTTCAAACGTATGGAACCCGAGGCCAAGACCATGCCCACTCCCCTGCCTCAGCCAGGGCACGAGATCCTCCACAAGCCTACCGCGCACGTGTCAGGTATGGATGCGAGGGACTTTGGTCGGTTGTGTGACTGTGTGGCTGTATAACTGGATCAATTTCCTGACTTGCGAAAGGGCGTGCTGCGGAGGTTTTTGTGTGCTGGTTGATTAATTGGTGTGGTACTATACTATAGCTTGCCAAGGGTTAGTACAAAGTGGGTGCTCTCTATAGTGGCTCTGAATTTCACTGGAGTGATCTGTTGAGGTTCTAACTCTGATGTAGAAAGTTCAGTGCGGGTGACCGATGTTTTGACATACGTTTAGGTTGTGCGACTGATTCATTGCACCATGAACCCATCAGAGTGTGCTGATGATGGAATTTAAACTAACCCTATGATCGCATCACTTTACTCGATTCGACAGCTGATAAGCAAACCTCAGGAGAAGCTCTCTACGTGGATGACATTGTGGATGTTAAGGGTACACTATACGCCGGTATCGTCTGGAGCAAGCACGCCCACGCCGAGATTTTGGAGGTGGACATATCGGTTGCTATGGAGATGGACGGTGTCTACGACGTGTTGTATGCCAAGGACGTCCCCGGCGAGAACAAGCAAGGTATGCTGATCAGGAACTCCTATGCGGGTGGGGGCGTTATTATGTGTGTCAATTTGGATTGGTGCAAACTTGTGTACGTATGTACGAATTGTAGCCGTATTATAATTTAGAGCTTGAATATGCATGCATGCCGGCACTTTGTGATTAGACCATAGAGCACAATGGAAAATGCAGAAACCGTTTCTGTACTTGATGTGCCTGATGAAAGCTCAATCAATTTGACGGCGGTGTTAGAATCCGATTCTCTGATGCAATAACAACAATACCCGTTTATGAAGGATTAGCTCATTGCACTCAGCCTCTAGGTGTGATGAACTTGATATAATCTAGCCTAGTCAAATATATATTTTGCGATCGTCGACAAGGCTGTTGGCTCGTGTTGATGGCTGTTCCATTGCTCGACGGACGCCAGCGATCATACACAACCATACACATGGACGTACATTCCCATAATCTATTGTGATTATCGTCTCAAGCGAACATCGAACACCACAACACAGGTCCCGTTATCAAGGATGAAGAGCTCATTCGCAGCAAGACCGTGACGTCGTTCGGGCAGTTCGTCGCTGTCGTACTGGCAGACACACACGAGCGCGCTCAGCTGGCGGCCAAGAAGGTCGCCGTCGAGTACAAAGTGCTCACACCCGTACTGACCATCGAGGAAGCTCTGGGGAGCGAGAACGCAGGCTTCTCACCCGTCCGTTGCCTTGAGCGTGGCAACGTGCATGAGGCGTGGGATAGCTGTGACTATGTGATTGAGGGCGAGGCCCGTACCGGCGCGCAGGAGCACTTCTACCTGGAGACCATGGCGTCGTACGTCATCCCCAAGGAGAGTGGTGAGTTGGAGATGCACGTGTCCACACAGGCGCCCACAAAGACCCAGATGCAGGCGGCCATCGTTGCGGGTGTGCCAGCGAACCGCGTCACGTGCAAGGTCAAGCGTATGGGCGGCGGCTTTGGCGGCAAGGAGTCGCGGTCAGTCATGCTGTCCAGTCTGTGTGCCATGAGCGCCGTTGTTGTGGGCAAGCCGGTGAAGTGCATGCTGGATCGTGACGAGGATATGATCAGCTCGGGACACCGCCACCCCTTCCTGTGCAAGTACAAGGTGGGGTTCAACAAAGACGGGCGAGTGATAGCGTGTCATATGCGCATGTGGGCCAATGGAGGCTACTCCATGGACTTGTCGGAAGCGGTGGTGGATCGTGCCATCTTCCATTGCGAGAACGTGTACCGATACGCCAACTTCCGAGCAGGTGTGTTTGTTGAGTTCCTCATGGAATTCTGTCGATACGTCATTGACTGTGTATTGCAATTAAGGCTTCATAGTCGTCTGTACGTACATACCATGTGCTCTTATTCAAATGAATGACCATGTTCTATATGTTTTGTAGCGTCGTATTAACTTGGTTCCAATGTCCAAACATATGTTTAATCGGTTTGTATGCATCCATCTCATTTCATCATTACACTTTCTAACCCACGTTATAGAGGGGCAGGTTGTGCGTACCAACACAGTGTCCAACACCGCTTTCCGAGGCTTTGGCGCACCGCAGGCCATGTTCTTCGCCGAAGTGGTTATGGACGATGTCGTTCGTACTACCGGGCTGCCAGCTATGCAAGTGAAGCAGATGAACATGTACAAGGTCGGAGAGGAGACCCACTACTGCATGAAGCTACAACACTACGATGCCGACAGGTGTCTGGTCAAGGTCATGGAGAAGGGCCATTACGAGCAGAGGTGCGCAGAGATTGCCGAGTTTAATAGGAAGAATCGGTTCAGAAAGCGAGGCATCCAGGCAGTGGGAACCAAGTTTGGTATCTCCTTCACCATCAACCATCTGAATCAGGCGGGTGCTCTGGTGCATGTTTACTTGGTGAGTTCTGGTGCTCATTGTAGGTTTCTGGGGTGGTATGGTATCAACCGAGCATGCGACCTCAAGCGCAGTATAGCATGTGGCCCGTCATGTCGTTTTCAGCAGTATACGCAATGTTTGGCCTTTTTAATGATTTTCAAGTTACGCTCTGCGGAATAATGGCATGAGCGCATCGCCTCGAATATGTATTTGTTGTATCATATTCACTTTACTAACACCCAGGTCTTCTCTTCGTGTACAGGACGGGTCCGTGTTGGTCACGCACGGTGGTACAGAGATGGGCCAGGGTCTTCACACCAAGATATACGCTGTAGTATGCAACGAGTTCGGCATCTCACCTGATCGCGTGTATATCAACGAGACAGCCACAGACAAGGTACCCAACACGTCACCCACCGCCGCGTCGGCGAGTTCGGATCTGAACGGAGCCGCTGTGCGCAATGCGTGCCTCATCATTATTGAGCGCCTGCAGCCGTATCTTTACGATGAGAATGGTATGTCTTGTTTAAGCGTGTGCGGGAAGCTTGACTTCGCCCAGCGAACGTATTTTTTCACTCTCAATATTTAAATGGAGTTTCTGTTGATCTCATTGGTCACTATGTATCCATTTTCATGGCACAATGAATTGGGTGTTGCACGTGTGTGGGGCGCACTTACCGTGTCTTCAGTGTCTGAGAATGCTTCTCCCATGTATAGTACTGAAACTCGTCTGCCTCTATATTACAGAGGACGGCACCAAGACCACTCGCACCTTCCAGGATGCCGTCAACCGTGCGTACCTTGACTGCGTTTCACTCTCTACCACCGGGTACTTCTCCACCCCCGGCATTGGGTTTGATTTCATCAAGGGCGAGGGCAAACCATTCCACTACCACAGTTACGGCGCGGCTATGTCTGAGGTGGAGATTGACACTCTCACCGGAGAAGTGCAGGTGTGTTTTGTACCAATATCGTGCGTGTACTTGCATAAGGCTATATACATGTCGTATTGTGATTCGCTAGTATCGCATTATTGTACGTGCTCGCTATCGTCGGAGCGGAGCTATTATTTGAAGCGAGGATATACCAAGTTGTTTCAATTTGTCTTACAAATCTGTCGTACATACTCTCGAAATTATATCTTCGTCTCAGATCTTGCAAACGGATCTGTGTATGGATGTCGGACAGAGCATTAACCCGGCTATCGACGTGGGCCAGATTGAAGGTGCATTCATGCAAGGCGTAGGCTTGTTCACCATGGAAGAATTGCTATGGAGTGCGGAGGTATGGTGAAGCATCGCTTTCTGAGTTCATAAGGCTGGGAGCTTTATGGATGCTTTTTGTGGTTGCACTTTCTTTCGCTGATACATACCCTGTCGAACATGTTTTGCATCGCATTTTGAATAACGATCGAAACTCGATTGCTCCTCGGACTCTAGGGACGCTTGCGCACGGTCGGACCAGGTATGTACAAGATCCCTGGGTTCAGAGACATCCCACAGACCTTCAACGTACACCTACTAGAGGAGTCCTTCTGCACACGCGCGGTGTACCGTAGCAAGGCGGTGGGCGAGCCTCCCCTGTTCCTAGCTGTGTCTGTGCACTCGGCTATCAAAGACGCCATCGCTGCCGCTCGTGCGGATGAGGGTATCTCAGGCCGATTCCGTCTGGATGCGCCGGCGACCTGTGAGCGTATCAGATTGCTGTGTACCGACAAGTATGTATTTTTAGTATCTATTTCGTGAGTTCTTATTACTCGTTTTGGAGACTTGTGTTATTTATTGACTTGGCATGCTGTTGAAGCCTTATACTGTTTGTGCTTTGCTGTACTTTTTTTAATATCGCAAAAGATCATATACGCCTGGTTTTGTCCTTATGTTCACTTACGGTCAGCTGTTTTGCGTGATTGTTTCGAATCCCCGCATACGGCGAAGATGGCTGCGATAAGAAGAGTCAAGACCCTTTCTCATCTGATTTTCTGATTTGGTATTTAGGATCACATCACACATCAAGGTCGGCGAGCTCGAAGAGGGCAAGCAGCCATGGTTTATCCGACCGTAAGAATCAGGACATACGAATTGTTTGTTCTCGAAAACTCCGCCGGTTTCACGCGCGGAGTATCGGTGCACCAACACACATCAGACAACAAGGATAGAGCGAAGGCGAGTGTTTTGCATAAGCTTAGCTGCACCCCTGTGTGTCATGATGAATAATTATTTGTATAAGGATTGCAGAGAGCCCCCCCCCCCCTTGGTGCTGAACGTAACGTTTCATGATTAACTTTGTGAGAAGTTACGTACCGGCGCCTCCAGGGAGCGGACGCTCGTTTTAAGTATTTATTTTGTATTGGATTTGGGATCGATACACAACACGTACAATTAGCGGGAATATCGACATATGTTTAGTAATATGTTGGAAGCAAGCTTGTAAGACCACTCGTGTGACACCGAGACACTTTAATTTAAAGTGGTCAATTGATAGTTGAATAGTGTTAGTATAACTAGTAGCACGCGTTAGTCCGTCATGGACACGCGGCAAGTGCTAGAGTTGCAGTGATGAATATCACCTTGCAGTATTGAGCGATGATTGGATCGTTGAATCAGGTGAATAGTTGTCACACGCAACGTCTCCTGTAAAGCATACGGCAACCTAAAGGCCGTTGGGAGATGGTGGTAAAATAAAGTTGTGTACTTTTACATCTACTTGGGGATCCAGTTCCCGTTTCAACTTTGGTTTTCGATGCTTCTGTCACCCAGCCTTTGTTCTAGTTGGATTTCTCAGATTTATATATGCCAGATTTTTTTAACAATGAAGCCCATTATTGACATAACATGAATCTTGAACCACGTGCTTGGTGGTCGTTAGGTAGTGATAATATCTGCGGTACAACGATTGATAAAAGGACGCAAAGTACGAGTGCGATAGCAATTGCAAATCTGCATTATAAACTGCAGCAGTAAATCAATTTATTAGCTCGTCGCATTTTCGGGTATGTATTTCCACATTTATTTCTGCAATGTGTGCAAGAACTGCGGAAGTTAAGCAGTAGTTCGCACCAACAGTTCGTATGGTCAGGGATTGTTGTGCCAAAACCTATTAAACTGCTCTAGTATGCAATACAACGGAATTACGAATCCGATGTCATTTGACGGCAGTAATTCTCATTGAGTCCTTAAGACCTATCGTCATTTAACTGCAACAGCAGCATATCCACTCCACACAATCGCGGAATTCATTTTACACTTTGAAAGATTTTCTCTCGTCATGTATCAGGCGGTGTCAAACCGATGCCGAAGAGTCAGTCAAGTCGTTCTGTCACCAACTTCAATGCCAGGTTGGATGAGGTTTTCGGTGGGATAACACTTAGCCTGTGTATTCTTTGGTAAACAACCGTTTGTTGGCACAGTTATATTGCCATTTAGACTTAAGCGCATGGTTCAAATTGCATCGAGAAACTCGTGTCCGGATCACTCAAGCAGTAAGGTTTGGTGTCCTCATCTAATACCATCTCTTCCTTCTCGCCAAAGATAATGCCCTCGCCGTAGCCCGTGGAGGTTTTGCACTTATCATCAGCAAAATAGTACAACTCGCCGAGACCACGGTATACGTCGATAACTGCATATATTTTGGAAGGAGCTGTTTTGGAGGATATTAGTGTGCAATCTCCATTGGTTGGCACAGATACAGCTGGATTGAGCACACTTCCCTCGCAATCCACGTCCATGTACGAGGTTAATTTCACGGTCGAGCAAATCTCTGCAGCTCGTGAGCTGATTTGTGAGCTAATTTTAGGGATCGGCGTTGCTGCAATGGTGGACACGGTCACCACCGACAGGACGGCGAGTCTGATCAATTTCATAGTAATAGTGGAAATGCCTTGCTTATATTAAAAGTGACAATGAGGGTCGATGTATATAGCAACGACGATAACTTATAGTCTCGAGTGTAGTAAATGTTTTTGATGTTGACAAGGTTGGTGGTCTTCTCGTGAATTTTATATTGTCTTTTTCATATATCTAAGAAGCTATGTACTTGACTACGTGGTAAATACCTTCTTATTTTAGACTGTGAATAAGTACTAATTTGTAAATCTGAAGTAAAATACGTGGTAGGCGAGGCTTATATATACGGGGGGGGGGTTTTTTTTTTTTTGAAAATCCTACATACATCATTACATGTAGCATGATATATACCGGTTACATACATACCACCTACATTAAAAATACATATTTATACACATATACATGCTGTGTTTCGGCCGAATGTGCCCCGCCAAAAATGACTTTTTTCTAACAGAATTTCTTCTACAAGAGCAAATATATCAAACAAGACTATTATGATTGGCCAAAATGTAATAGTATTACTTTTATGCATTGCAGATCTAATGGTTAAAAAAAGTGTAGCAGATGTTTCTAAAAATTAAAAGGCGGAAGGCCTGTAAAATTGCAGGAAGTTGTCCTCTCGACTCCTCTCAGTCACTGTATATAAACAAAAGTTGTACATATTTGCCATTTTGTAAAAACAAAACGAAAGAAAAATCTCGTTTGTACATAGTTGTGAGTTGTGACTCAGTGGGCCTCAATAGTAAATATTAAAACAACGCGATCCACAAACTACAGTTCCACACTCCACCAGTCTCCACAGTTCACAGTTCACACCCCACAGGCCACCACAGGCCACAGGGCCACAGACAGACCCACACTGCCACAGTCCACAGTCCACCGTTGTCCACATTCACAACATCAATACGGGGCTACTTACAGTCCAAACAGACTAAACTCCAGACTCCAGAGTCCTCTGACACCACACTTGACAGTTGACATTTGACAGTCTCTCAGTCTTCAGACTCAAGAGTCTCAGTATTTATGTATTTACAAAAATAAACAGACACTGTAATGACTGTATCGAGTTACGAGTATCGACTAACTGTTATATTTTTATTACCTATTAAAAACTACAGTCTACATTCTACAACTTACTCTCTATTACTCTAGAGAAAGAGTACAGTTTTGACGTTTGTGCATTAAATTTTAAACGTTAAACCCCTATTTTGGACAGATCTGTCGCAGGCTCGCAGCCTCACATCATATAATTATAATGCAGCGTACAGACAGTCACAGAGCACAGTACATGCGTGATTTTTTTTTCAAGTTTTTAAACCTGAGCCTATCTGCCAGATATGTACACAATGGACTATTCTGTGTTGGTATACGACAACAACGTAAACATATACCTAATTGTCACCCATCATAACAATTAATGTCGCGGCAACATGTATGAAGTATGACATGTCGTTTAGTATATTTGATGCACACCAGTGTCGACCAACATATCCTAGAAATAGTTGTCACGACATGCATGACTTGTCGTTTCATTTGTCCAGATATTGGCGTGGTATACCAACCCAGAGTCCCAGACACAATTCCAGTTTTCACAGTTCCGTAGTCCACAGTCTCTACACAAATACATGCGACCAGTGGTGTGGCAGTCTGACATTGTGGCAGTCACCGGCAGTCCGTCACCACTCGTCCCAGTGTCAATATGAACACTCCCTGAGGAGTAGATGCCCAATTGCACACACTCATACTCGGGCCTCTGCAGGAATGCATTAGAAACTGGACCCGTTCCACAAGAAGAGTGATGACCCACCGTCTCGTGGTAGATTTAAAATTAGTAATCAGTCTCCATATCGGAGGATGAGGTACATACAAACGACTGGAAGTACTTCAAAGACTTTCGTGTTGCGTTGATTATGTACTATGGTCTATGGCATTGTCGTATTACTCAGCTTACATATATATATGTATTTTCAAAGATACAGCGAGACTTACTAAGGTTATTTATTCTCTTCACCATATATTCGAATCAGAGTCTGCGTAAACAAATGTCGAGCTTGTTCTGTGAATACGGCAGCCGTGAGCTGTTTGTATTTCAATTTCCGGGTCCATCCTGGTATCCTTTTTTAAGACGAACCGTGGAATACACTTGAGCACATCTGCGCGAATACTATACATAAATAGGTGAATCCGATGATTCGCCTGTCTACACTACCAAACTAGTAAAAATAAAAATGTATTTAGAGTAGTGAGTGACCATACCCTTCTCAATTACTCAGTAGGCTACGGAGTGACCGACAAAAATTTGCGATAAACCATAATCCAGCTGAAAAGAAAAGAGACTCAGGTCTCAGAGTAGAGACCTGAAAGCTTAAAACAGTCAAAACACTCTGAAATTGTGTATTCAAACAATATTTGAGCTCTGGTACGGTCAAACAAGGACTGGTCGAATTTTGGGAGCTTTATACTGATGGTTCATCAGTATGTTGGGCAATGTTGGCTGTTATACACAGATATGTGCATACGTAGGCGTAGGAGCCAGGCATATACGCATACAGTCTTGTCATTCGCTTCATCTCCTCGAACAACAGGCTTGTAGTCTAAATCATAACCGTCACGCATGTACAGTCACATCCAACATATTACTCACAGACCGGCCGAGTGACTTACCACATCGCAGGCCAACAAGGCGCTATACAAGCCACATGCCAGCTACTAAAAATATGATAGAGTATACCCCTCCCTCATGGACTGACAGTGTTGATAAAGGATGCATACCTACACATAGAATAAGATTATCAATGCAACACACACCTGTGGAAGACTGGAGTCAACTGCCGGGTGTGCCCAAGGGTGTGCACGTGGGCATTAAACGGGATGACTTGACTGGTTCAGCGTTGGGCGGCAACAAGGTGCGCAATACTCATTTACACAGCTCTACTATGATAGTAATAGGAAATCCTATCTTGAAACCTTTGAAATATACCCGCTTTTTACCGTTTGGTCTGTTGGTCTGAATCAACTCAACCTGAATAAACTCGCCAAAATTGAATATAATCGACGCGGTCGTGCGTCTGTACTTGCTTTGGATGCGAACATGGCTTGAGCTGTATGTTTTAGATTGACGACGGTGAATGAAAAGCTATATCAATTACATACGCGTGTGGTTAGTTGGGCACTTACACAGAATTCGGTTAACTTCAGCAATCAGCGAACTGGCGGAATGTTGTACTCACTTTAGCTAAACCATTGTAGTGATCTTCGATACGAGGAAAAAATTCGGAGTGGAACGAGTCTCTCTACTTGGTAAAACGCGTCAAGTTTATACACGCATATACTCAGCCAGGGAAAGTGCGTTTCACAGCACAACCGCAAGATATTTTGTGTGGAATAAAAAAAAGCTTTCTCTGTCGTTCCTTATTTCAAACAGGTTCGGAAGTTAGAATTCCTAATTGCTGCTGCTCTACTACAGGGCTGTGATAGCGTAATCACTTGTGGGGCCGTTCAAAGCAATCACGCGCGTGCGACCGGTGAGTTATATATCAGTTATATACTGTACTCCAATTATGTGCTGGCTGTTTCAGCGTTGTACAACGTGCCGTGCATAGTAGTATTACTGTTTTGATTCATCCACGCATCTAAAGAATCCGAAATCACATCTATATATTTCTGACTGTCAAAGATAATTGTGAATCCCTGTATATCCCTGTCTATTCGAATGATGTGTCAAACCGAAGATTACACTCACGTGAACGATTACATATGGGTGCAATTTTATATCGGCGTCGTAAATTCAACAAAACATAAAACAACATCACACGGATTTGGCAACAGTCCATGTCAATGCATAGAAGCACAAATTTGGATGCACTCATGGGTGCAAATTTTACAGGTTACTGTCATAAATTGAAATGTGCGTGCAGATATGATTTCTGTTTTATATCTAGGATTCATTCACGAGGTCTCAAATAAATTCGACGACTCATGATGTCAAATTGAAGGTACACAAATCGACCACATCCGTGTTTGTTTCGTCACTTCTCTTTCCAGCGCTAGCCGCGCGTTCTCAGGGATTGGACTCACATTTATTTCTAAGATCCAACGACCCCTCGAATACCAATATCGGTCATCAAGGTAAGTCTTTCTGGTTTGATTTTCTTTTTCATATCTTTGAATGTAGTATGTACGGGGGCACAGCGGACTTCTCTGGCTCTTTGACTGTGGCATGTACGTACACAGTGAAAACCCAGACGGACTACGGTAACAAAATTGCACAAACTGATGGTGTTTCATACAGTCAACTAGCCTTTTCATAGCTTTCATGCAAGTGAGATTGCCCTGTTGATATTTTTAATTGCGCTGAGACACTTTAAAGGTATGCACTTTTGCTGTGTATATTCATCCAGGAAATGTTCTGTTGGACAAGCTTATGGGCTCCACATTTCATTTGCTCGGTAGAGTGCCGTACAAAACCGGGTTACTGCCGCCAATGAAGGTATGTGGTGAATCTGAAGTGTGGAGTGGAACTATCGTGAGATTAAAGGAAAAATAATTTGGGATCTGAAGCGGAACGAAAGCGGCTTGTATTGAATAAAGGGTTACAGGGTATTCAACGCGCTATCTCACACCTGCTTAAAATACAAAATGAACCATTTTTATAATGAGAGTCAGCTCCTGGAGAGTCTTAAATGTTGTACTTAAATCTGCAGACATTAGGCGGACTATGTGACTCTGATGTGACCTTTGATCTCATCTGTTTTAATTCCGTTTGGGGTATTTGCGCCATCAGTGAATTAGGAAGATGCTATTACAAATACTGCAACGCATTCAGAAATGTACGTGTTCTAAATATAGCAATTCTCAGAAAGTATTCACTATGCAATATAGGCTTTCCAAGACTCAGAGGCGGTACAGGGCAGGAAAAGCTTTCTGATTCCAGTAGGTGGATCTGACATTGTTGGATGGTGGGGCTACGTGGAATGTTTCCGAGAATTACTTCAGCAGGTGAGTTAGACTGATTCTATCATTGGTCTGCGGTATGTATAATGAATCACCGCTTTCAGTCTACTTGTATGTGGCGAGCCTGAATGATATCATTTCATATGCACATGTCTTCTACTTTTGGACCGCGAACGTTCCTGTCTGATGCGGGCAGCTCCATTATTTCGCTTATAATGTCGCAGCGGCTCAATAATCCATGTGTCCAATTGTTATAGTGATTTTGGTGGCCAAATTTCTACCCTTACTCGTTCTCAGGGTGGCTGTTGTTAGCCGTAGTGGAACACTCACGTGAAAGTATGTGCATACGAGCAAGGAGCTGGATATGGTCTAAACGTTATTCAAACCCTGCTATTCATGGAGGACTCTTCAGTCTCGCTCGCTCGCTTCCTAGACTATTGTTGATATGCAAACGCGCACGAGTAGTTATTTCCATGTGCTTAGCAATGAGAATGATTGATCATGAATATCGTGCCAGAGACGTGCAATAGATTTGTATATACTGACAGAGGTCATCGTGGAGCACGACAGGGCCACACAGGCGTGGTTACACCTGACAGAGACAATTGGACACACTCACAAGTACTTAGCTGCTGCTTATGCCGAGTGGCAAGCCCGAATCACCCCACGAGGATTAAGAGATTGGGAGTATTTGCTCGTGAGTTGCTACTATTCACCAAGACGGGTACAACGCCTACTCGGACATGGTCTTGGCCTTGTTCTATAATTATACTCCTCATTCCGTAGTTCAAAGGACGTGTAGTACGAATATACATTTACTTTACAGTCGTCTGGAAACTTGTGATCACACCCATCCACTGAATAGTAGCTCGTAGACAAAGACGACATGAATTATGGCCAAACTCAACTGTTTGATGATAAAGACTACTTGCACATTGCATGGCCAATGTCAACTATTAGATAAGTACTACTTGCACATTTTATTGCCAACCTGGAAACTTGAAACTGGGCGCTTGCGACTATCTATCATTCACGGACCATTAGGGTGTGGACAAAGACTACACAGATATAGTTGTAACAACTGGGAGCGGAGGAACGGCAGCCGGCCTTGCGATATCAAACTATTTGTGTGGGAGTCCCCTGAAAATACACGCAGGTAAGGTGTCCTATTTTGATACACATTCGCACTCCCATTTTCTATTTCACACTACAGCTTGCCACTTTGGAGCACACAAGAGTACGCTTTTGCATATAGCATCCCGCAATTGTGCAGGGCTGAGTGGGAGTTCACTGACGATACTCGCAGGTAATATCCCTGCGCTTATATACGAGACTAGTCAAGAAGTCGATTTTTCGATCAAATAAGCAAACTTAGACCATGCATTCGATGTTTTATTGATGCAGTTTGTGTGTGTGACAACGCGGATTACTTCCACCGGCACATCAACGAAACACTCAGGGAGTTAGGCTTGGGGGGGAAGAAGGACAGCCTGAGGTCACAGGTACCGTGCAAAGTTAGCTACTCTTGGTAGCGGTATAGAGGAAAACAGAAACATATTCTTACATTAAGAGCGCTGCTGCCACCTCTAATTGTGTGAGGTATACATACGATATCATTCGTACTCACAGATGGACGCACAAACGGGAGGCATGCTTATTCAAGGGTACTAGCACACTAGCACACTGGTGAGGGCGCATACTCAGCCATTTTAGTCCGCGGAAAACGGCAAATTTATTTTATCTACACATTCTGAGAGTACATACAAGCATATCTGTACAGACGGGCATTTTGATATTACGGATAAGATGCGTACGGTTTCCGTGGACTCACCGGTGTGATATATTCAAATATGACGTCTGCACGCAGCGGCTTTCCACCTTGCAGATTGGAACTAACTAAATTTCATACGCACACCACGAATAAACCAGGATATCATTGATATAATCGATGGATACAAAGGCAAGGGATATGGGTTGAGCCAGCCGGAGGAATTCATGTTGATTAGGGACGTTGCAAGGTGTGTGGACTGAGGCGTTGCATTTGTATTTGACAAAAAGCTTCCAAGTACAAGCCTATCGCAAGCACCAATGCTGGTAAATACTGCAGGAGCGCACTTAATTGGACCTAAGATGTATGCGCTCATGCCCAACATAAAATAACAACATACTATAACAATTGAAGACACACTGCGAAGCCGTATACTTCCACATTTCTGTGCATTCTTCAACGCTAATAACATATTAATTAAAACCCCTCCAATAGGTCCACCGCGATTCTACTAGACCCAGTATACACTGCAAAGGGAGTGAGAGGGATGATCAGCGAATTGCACGCCAATCCCCAACGATTCAAGGGCCAAAATGTCTTGTTTTTACACACGGGAGGAATTTTTGGGCTCTACGATGGCACCATCAACCCCTATTTACAGGATTCCACTGTAACCGTTGTTGCGTAAGGTGCTGCTTTTCGACCATGCATAGTACTAATAGGTAGACCAATAAAGAGATTAAGCATTCGAGGTTGCTACCATCGAAACACAATTGAGGCTCGCCTGCATCTCAACTGAGTTTCGTATGATCGCATGGGGAACGGGATTGTCTACATATATTTATTTTAGAATAGATAAAGTTGATACGAGACAGCAGTCAAACTGTCAGAGTAAGCAAAATCCTACTAAATACACTGTACAGTCTACACTCTACAGTCTGTATATTTACATACTAAAAGGTGCCAATTTTCGACGATTTGAGAGTAAAACGAGCAAATATATGTGTATTTTTTTTTATACCCGTTCCAAAATCCAAACCTTTTTGGTCTTCTCTCTTGGAAATAGTAAACAGTAAACGGTGGTGCGTGGTGCAACTGTCTTTACAAGTGGGCGAGAACGAGTGCGGCGGATACTGTATTGTTCACCTGTGTTAGGTTCAACTGCTGGGGACAGAAGCTTCGCACAAAGAATCTGTATTGTATTTAGATTAGACTTGTTAGAGTAAATAGTTTAAAATCTACAGAGATAGTCGTATTCTTCCTGAGAAAACTGAAGTAGACAGTCAGGTATGGGGAGTGGTATATAAAAGTGTCTTTGCTACCAGAAGGGTAGTTTTATATTAAGCCGTGTGTGTGGATTAGTTGGCTGCATCACTAACTGCATCACGAGACATCTGCGCAGTATATCTATGCCCAGCATATATCAATAACAAAGTAGAAGACCCGCCTGTTTCGTATACAAATCATCATGCTGTATGTTTTTCTTCTGTTCCACTGTGTGTAGAGAAGCGCTTCGAAATAAGCTATTAGATAGTAGTTTGAAGTTGTAATCAAGTTATTTTTCATGATTTCATCGAGCCTAAATATCTGAGCTGTTCCTTTTACTGATGTCCGCATCATACCTTGTGTCGCTACTTTACTGTTCGGTCGCAATAGATCACCTTCCTATCCTTTAATCTATTCACAAGCTTGTCAAGACATTGCTTTTATTCTATACTGGATGGTTAGTGCCAGATACTGTAGTCGTCAGTGCTTTATAAATGCAACAGTTGGGTGTATAAATCAAATATGCCGCTGAATTCTAAACCTCACTAATATATATCCCGTTATGTTCACCTCGAACGGTCCTTATTCTACGTGCTCCCTATGCTGTCAATCATCATAGAACAAGTAAGAACGCAAAGATGACTCTGTCAAATGAAGAGATCTCGGAAATAAAGACCGTCTTCGGTAAGTGCTACATATCATGGTCAGTGATAGTTATATTTTTGTGACAAGTAGTAGTTTCAATCTATATGACAAGTAGTAGTTTCAATCTATATGACAAGTAGCTAGGGAAACAGTCATGTCTGTCCCTTACTATATGAGTGAACTCTATATTGACAATGTAAAAGGGTGCATCAAGTGTCAAAGAGTACAGACAAACACACACACACACAAACACACACACACAAACATAGACACGCACACACACATACATACATACATACACACACACACATATATATACATAT